AGCGTGTAAGAGAATCAAGAGGTGTCCCTTTCGGACTGCCATTCATCCTTGCGTCTTTACGACGCCGTCGGGCATCCGTGCGATCGTTCGGCGACATCGAAATATGTGGCTTGCTGATTCCTCTGCTTTACCGTGTCTCTCGATCTCGCGTTACTTCTCTGTCTCACATGGGTACAACAGCTCATTCGAAGTGTGAGGCACCCCACAACAGCGTTATGGATCGAATCGCCGTTCCTCTTAGACAGGCCTCAGTAAAGTTCGGGGACACACTTGTGGCCGGTGCGATCGCCGAGAGCTCTTCGAGGCGTGTGTTTCGAGAAACAGTCGCGAAAATAGGTGAAGCGATTACCGTCAGAGTCACAAGGAGCGACTTTAACGAGAGCGACGTACGTATACTATCGACGTTAGTGCGTCAGAATGGCGCAAATAGTCGGACTAAACTAAAGTGAGCAGCTCATCGAGAAATAACAGTGAAATGTAAGTGCGAGCTAAACACAAAAAGGCCAATGGCGTTTTTTCTTTGCATCGTAAAACCCATGACGCGAAAAAGCTGAGGCTCTTCTGTGCTGATCACGGTGTCAACAACAGCCAACATCTAACTGGCCATACCCGTTCCTAGTATTATATATCAACTACTAAGGGATGAGCGGCAAAGGAGAGAAGATGCTGTCTGTCTAGTTTGGTCTGTGTGCTGCCACGAATGCGCTGGTCCCAATAGACACCCACATCGATAGGCATCTGGAAGAAAAGCAAGACGATAAATGACAACAATCAATACTGGGTGACTCAATCGGCTGAATCAAAACGAGAGAAAACCTTACCTAGTAAAACAGTGTGAGCAGCGCGTGACTGGGGCGCACATCTACAAGCAACTGAAATGCCCCGAGGAGCAAAAACAGGATTCTCCCAATAAGTGGCAAACTAAAACGAAAACAAAAGCTGAAAAAAGAACGAGCTTGAGCGAGAAAGGAGAGACGCTACAACAGAGCTAACAAACGGCCGCGATTGGTACCAAAGAAAACGAATCAGCCACAGGGAGTCCGTCAGCGATAAGTTGCGCTAACTGGCTCTCATGGGCACTTGGATTCATTGGAAAAAAAAAAAAAAGCCATTTCTCTTAGAAAGCTAAGCATGAATGCACACGGCCGCTGGGACTGATTGAGAACATACAGTACACTATAGGAAGGAAAACAATTAGCGAATCTATAAGCTAGGCACGTACAAGCACATCGATAATCTGCCAGTACGGAAAAGGTCAACATTGACAGTCTTATCAACATAGTTATTATGAGATTTCGTCAATTAATCATGATGATATATGTAACAAAGCCACGGAAACGAAACAACAGCCAGACTGAATTTCGTGTTCTAATTCTGAATACGGAAACATTTAAGTTAGACGCAATTCAATGTTCAATGCAAATATAGCACAAGGAAAAGTTGACCCTTAACTTTGTAATCATATTTACAGGCGTTACAATTTTGTACTTGTATGAACAATTATATAGGACAGTGAAGTTCCGCGTCGGCAGCCGATGAAATGGGCTGTCTATTGCTGTGCACGGTACACTTCACTGGGTTCGGGTGTTTGCGCAGATAAGTAAATCACTTGTGGATTGTTCGAACATCATCTGACTCAAGTCACCGATCCTGCTACTCAATAAATAAACACAGAATCTAGCAGGGATCTCTTTAGAGCAACTATCAGAATGCTGATTTGTTGAAGGTTCAAAAACATCGGTTAAGGTACATCTGATTTTTCCCAAGATACTAGAAATCCAGGACTACTGCTTTTGTTATTATGACTAACGATGATTTCGTCACATACTGGTTCACCGACTTTCAGCCCTTATCTTTTTTTTTTTTAAACTATCAGATAGATAGCTTTTCCTCTTCGTACCATACACCGCAGACCTCGACATGTCATATAGGGGGCTACTGCACACAGTGCAAAAGCATTAGTGAACGCTTTCATATCAGCACGCGGGTATTTGTATGCTAACAGCCATTGTGTCAACGGTATTGGCTCACCATTCATAGGTTATCCCTGTAGTCCGATGTAAAGTAGAATTGCAGTCCCAGTATGATTTAGCTACCATTATCATATCTATCCTCTTAGGTGATTCCTGTAAAAAATAGAACTCTTCTCTGTTTATGAAAAACAAAATTTTCCTCATTCACGTTACGAGGCACTTCGCCCGGAAGTTCTCGTTGTCGCGACGTCGCACTTTGTTGCCCTTCGCGATAAATCGCGACCACCTAAAGCTTACCTGTCTTTGTCTTATCGCCCTCTGAAACATGTGAGTGCATCTAGACGACAACCTATTTGACCCCGTGATCACAATCCTTTCTAACTTCTAGCTGGCTCCGTCTCTATTGTCTGAGGAGGACGAAACACGTCGCAATATCGGACCCATGACAAGTTGAGGTATCGATGAGTTGGCCGCCACGATAACGAGATACGACGCTCAAGAACAGGAACGGTTGCAATCTATCTTCCTGCTCTGTCTATTTGTTGATTAAGACTTTAGCAGCAGATAATTATTATTATGCCCCATCGCGTTTTTATTACGCGTACCTATTACTTGTTGTTACGCGAAGAAATGAGCGAAATCGGTCAGACGAAAAAATAGAAGACATACCAATCGTGGCTGGCTCCCATTCTCTCGTTCTCCTATACGACGCCACACGGCCTTCGGCCACGCTGCTGCTGATTTCTCTCTAACCTACCATATGCTACTATTCTATTCTATCTATTCAATCCGTAATGAGAATCATCTTCTTGTTTTTCGTCGAATGCAGGCATCGTTTAGCCTCGCCACCGCAATGGTCACCGTTGCCATACCGTAGATAGACGAGCATGACGCGGACGCGAGACGCAACGACGGTGGCAAAGCTGTTCCTTCGCTGCTCACATATCAACGACGACGCCAACAACAACAACAGCGATAGCACCTGCGAGAGAAGCTGGACAGCTACCACCGGTCACAATGGTAGCAGCTGTGTCGGTGCAGACGCTTGCCCCGTAGGCAGCTTGAACGGTCGCTTCGAACTAGCATCACCCATCGTCGGCTGATTTGCTTGCGTCTGTTTGCCTGCCTGACTGACCGACCGACCGACCGCCCGCCCGCTCGCTCGCTCGTTCGCTCTGTGGCTGCACGTCGGTGCGGCCCGAGCTGGAAAGCGACCAAAGAGACAGCCACGAAATAGGAACAGCGAGCGGACAAGCAAACAGACGACCAAGCGACGGCTGTGGTACGAGCGTATGGCAAACAACAAACGAAGACTGAAGAGGGGATATCGTTGCGACATAGCCAATGAGCCAGCAGCCAAGCACTGCCTGTTGTTTGTTGCTCGTTGTACGTAAGTACAGATACGTTATGTCTGCGTATGCTCGCCTGCGTGCGCGGCTGTAACTACACCATGTATTGGCGAACGCTGGCGCCAGCGACAACCACAGCCATCAGCGCTTTCGTTCCGGAGCGGGAAAAGACGAAGACGAAATAACGAAGCCTTCCTTCTGAATGTCTGTTTCTATCTTTGCGACCGTCTGGAGCGGTTCCTGCGACCGTTTAGATTGATTCTGTTGACTCTGTAGCTTCTGCAGACGAGGAACGCAGCAGCAGCAGCGCCGATCGTAAGAGAACCGCATGAAATCAGTCCTATCTATTCCTTTGAAGGCTATTGCAAGAGACTACAATAATAATAATGACAACGACGTCGCCAATGATAATGCTATCGTATTATATAGTAGTAGTAAAATGCTAATGGCGCGCGCAAATTCTGCTAACGTCATCTTCGTTCGTTCGTTCGTATTTCGCGCGCGCGTTAAGGGGGGCAGCGGCGGCTGCTGCATCGGTGGCCATTAGTTTTCTGGTCGAATGGCGCCCCGCTTATGATAAATGTGCGCTGATATGCGAATGTGCAACGCGACCATGGAAATGGTTTAAAGCTTAATATCTATGTATATGTTTAGTACATACGGGTACAATAACTGTACTAAAGCGAAATATATATGCGTGTATACAGTGGCGCTACGAGCGGTTCCTGACAAATGTATTGACGTTAGTTGCATTATGGAGGAGACCACGGAGCCAAGTCGAGAGTAACATTTCATACTCGGGAAGAATCAAATGCGGCCACAGATGAAGTGGATTGGATTGAGTTTCTTTCTGACAATAATTTAACAAGCGTTGACTAGGTACAAGAAGCGTATCCGTCTGTGATAAGGCACTTTGGTTACAAATAGTTTTACAGTTAATTGACGTCCTGATCTGGTCGACCTAGACGATAAACTAGTTCTCCAGTGGAGGGACATTTCCGAAGGCGAGAAGTTTTTCAGTCAAATGTTTCAAAATAAAAGTAAAGCGGCGACGGAAGCTATTACATCATCTGTCCAGAGGCCGTCTTCAGTTTCTGAATTTGATTGGTACTGATAATCACCTAAAGGTAATAAACCTGTGCATACTATTTGGATAGAAAAGTTTAGCCTCGACAATACCTACATCGAACAACGTAAAGCGGGCCTTCTGTGTGGTGTACACCAGCTTCGAAACCGGCGACCGTGCTCGCTCGTCCTCCCCATTCTTCCCTGTCTGCCTCTTCCTTATATACGACGTTTGCAGTCGAAATCTGCTCGTTTAGCAGGACAACCGCGCGGCAAGGTACAGATTCGGCTCAGACGCCGCTACTACTATGACCTTCTGCTCCAGCCGTCGTTTGTCAGCTCTGCAAGCACCGACGCTGCTGTTCGAGTGAGAAGGCGATTCTGCTAAACGTTGATGATACCGAAGTAGGCTTTTTCACTTGCCACTTGCTCGCCCAGTCCGAGGCACACGTAATCTGTTACAGTGGAGGCAGGGGGTGGGCTGGGCTGGGGTGGGGATGAGGGTGAGGGTGGGGCTACGATAGCCCAGATGGCTACTAGCCGGCGTCGCCGTTGCCACCGTCATCGTTGTCATCGTCAGCGTCAGCAGCAGCAGCAGCAGCAGCAGCGCCATCGACCAGAACTACGTAAGCTAGCGCTATCTATATTCCTGCTTTTGCTGAAGCCATCCTGCCCATACGTGCGCTTGTTTCTGTATCTTATAGTCGCTCCTATTGCTACTCGTGTGACTGTTGCGTTACGTTACTGTTACAGGCTGTCGTTACTGTCGCTTCTGTCGCAAACGGCACTTCGAGCAACGGCAGCCGCCGCCGTTTGTCGTCGCCCAGTCCAGTCCTACTCAGTTTGACAGCGACACCCTACACGGTTCACAGTTGTGTGTGCGCGGCAAATGATTCGCTCGCTATGCTGGTTTGTCGTACGCCGCCGTTTTTCAGATATTGCCAACGTACATTTGTACAGAGACATAGACAGACGCAAGTACTATGCGCTCAGATGCCGCAAGCACACATCACTCTCCTGAGGAGGATCTTCTGGGGCGGGCCGCGGCGGTGACGGCGATCGTTCGGCTTTCTGCCTGACTTTCGACTGGATGACTGACTGACGTTAGCTGGCCAACCAGCGGTAGCTCTGGAAGCGGCAGTAGCAACAGCTGACGAATTGCAGCGTGTAGCGCAAGCAGCTGAAACACCGGCAAAATGAACAGGCGAACTTTAGCCAGCAGCCGCGGCACTGGCGGCTGTGCTATTTCTATCGTTGCAGCTAAGTTTGACTTTGACTTTGGCTTCGTCTTTGGCGATACCTGGTTGTGTGTGCATGCAGTTCGATTCGCGGTGGCGGTACGCGGCGAATCCACTTGTCGCCGCAACGGCAGCACTGACGACGCTAAGCTGCGTGCGATCGTAAACGCACGAAAGGGGACGGCGCTGATCTTCAACAAAGGCAGCAGCGGCAGTCTCATCAGCACAGAACAAGCTGCCGCTACTGCTGGCAAAGCGGTATACAAAAAGGGCGCCGTAAAGCATTCGGTTTAGCCAACAGCAGCGGCTTGTTCGCGCCGCACTTTCTTGGCTTTTGGCGCGTCACTTCATCCGAGCGGCCGATGATTGTATCACATTGAGCAGGGGAAAATGGGGGTCTGGCGTAGCGGCAGCGTCATTAGACAAGCCAGCAAGCCAGTCGTACGGTCCGTGTCTATAATACATAAACAGCTTGTGAGTGTATCCATGAGTGTCTGTGTGCATGTATGTACAGAAAGCACTCTATACGCACGCGCACACAAGATATATTACATAGACGACAAAGGACGATTGTCAATACCAGTATGGCAGGGTTCTGCTTCTACGCCGTAGTACTTGTTGTGGTCATCGTAGCCTGGCAAGAGTGCGTGGCAAATTCACGCAATACCAATTCCAGAAGTATCTTGGCTTGCAACACCAGTTCTAAGAAGATGGATTCATTTTTACTTAGATGATATCCCCTCTCTATCTTGCCTTACTTGCTACGCCGCCAAATAGTTAAAAACTGCCAAAAAGCAATAGCAGCGACGGTAACGTACAACTACCGAAATCAAAAAGTCCAGGGAGGGAAGCTGCGCCAGCTGGCCGGTAGTCACTTACCGAACAAGAGCAATGTGCAAATGCAGCTTCGTCCTAAACGGGTAGCACAGATATCGAAATATGCCTTTTTTTCTAATGCTGAAAATGAAATAAAGACCTTTCTCGCCTACATGAAACATGTACGGATACGAATCAGATTCGCTGATAATATACGTTTTACTAAGACTAGAAATGCATGAGCTTCCCAGCTAATAAGACGTTCATAGAAAAGCGCTAATCTTTCGCAAAGGCACTGGGCCAAGCTTGCTCGAAGGGTAGCCACAGCGCACCTAACTTCTAGCTAGACAATTATGGTTAACGTGAGATGAAGGGTTTGAATTAACGATAGATAAATCCTCGGGAAGTATATATACATTCAGAATAAATGGGCTGTTACTAGTTATTATGGTAGTAATATTGTTAGAGAGATGACCGAAGTTACCTATGACTTGCTCGATAGAAGGCAAGCGATCACATCGAGTGTTCGCAGAATCAGTAAAGGCGTCCGATGCTTGCACAGATTGCTCCAGACGTTGAATCACTTTCATATTGAGATTTCATAGAAAACAGCAGCACATATCCATCACATGCACACGACTCGTAAATGGCAAAGCATTGCTTGATATTCCATCGCAGGCACACGTACAGGCATACGCTCACTTTTGGTAACCCTTACTGGTGGCCACCAAACTCGGCTCGTTTGTTGGACAACCGCTGGTGAAGATTGCACAGGCGTAATAACATCCCCGATGTAATGGGCATGATAAACACACACACACACACGCACATTGGTTAATGTGTGCCCGCTCATGAGTCCATATCCTCTGTACTACAATATACATGCATATAGGGAGCATTGACAGGAAAATACTCAATATTCCTATACAACTTCGTTTCATTTTTGATTATTTTGTCAATTAATTAGAAAAACCACTATGGACTAGATTCAATGGCACGTCGATATTTCCAGCCAGCGCGATCTCTGTCACGTAATGTAACTATGATACCACCGATGTACAAGAAACATCGTTCTCTTGACCTCGATACAGTGCACTGCATGTTAATGCACAAGGAGGAAGATAGCACGCTCTGTGCACGTTTTTTTTCTTCTGTGCAAGCATCAGGCAGCAGCATCGCTCCATATTGCAATATAGCAGCGAACAGGACGGACGAACGAAAGCTATAGACAACATCGCGCATCATCATCATCGACATCATTAGCACTACCCCATGAACGAGACGAAACGCAACAGCAGAAGGGACAACAAACCCTGCTTGTTGTTTTTGTCGTTGTGACCGAGGGGTGTGTACGGGGGCGCGAGCATGGGTAGTCCTGGACCCCTTTTCCGTGCGCATCAGTTTCAGAGCGTTCGACTCCGTACCGCTCATTATTATTATTAATGATAACCTGCCACTATCATCCAGCGGACGCAACAGCGAACGTGCGAACGGCCTTTTTCTCGCTTCCTCAATGGTTTTATCCTCTCGTAGGGTTCACTGGCGGCCATGCGGCTGCGCTAATGCGCTGTCTCGGCAGCAGTAGCAGAAGCACATAGTAAGGAAAGCGACGACGTCACACGACACTCTGCGACGTGTTAAGCATCGTTATTTCAACGAATGTTACGTCGCGCTACAGGATGAGTCGCGCTCCTCCTGCCGCGCCAAGAAAGCCAAAGGAAAAGACAGAGAAAAAGATTCTTCTTTGTCTTCGTTGACTAATACATCTACTTCTTGTAGGCTACTAGTTTTTGCTTATCCTCTTTGTCTCTCACGGTTTCTTCGTCTGCGAAACATCATAGAGAGCTGTCTTGCGGAGGACGCAGGACAGCAAGCAAGCAATCGACCAAGGAAGCAACTAAGTCGACGGGGCAAAAGGAAAGGTAAGGTAGCGAGAATCGACGACGCTGTCGTCGTTCAGTGTTGGGCGGTGGTAGTCGTTGTGGCGCGGAGTGCTAGCGACGTCTCAGTGGTTTGCTTTTTTTCAGTTCCGTTCCTGCTCTAGGCAGCAGCTGGATGACGCGTCGCATGCGCCGTCGCAGCGTGGGCAGCACAAGAAGGATAATAGTCATCATCCTATTCGAAATTCTATCACTCGGCCCGTACGACGTGATGACATAGGTATCTGCCGACCATCGTAGGCCACAGGAACGAGAAGAAACCGTTGAATATCTTGTCGTCTGGTGCAATACACATACAGGGACTGGAGGAGGGACCGGGCGGACAGATGGACTGTTATACGTTGACTCGCTCGCCTGCGCTACGCACTACATCTTCTACGACCACTGTTACCACACTACGTTACGGCAGGGAGAGAGGAATACGTGAAATGTTGCTGCAGTAGAGGCACTGGTGATCTCAGCAGTAGCTTTACAGATGTGCATGCCCGCGTGCTCTTTGCCTTCTTGGCTGTGCCCTCGTAGCTCTCTGTATAGGGCGGGGGCCGTGGACACCAATGTAGCGTCACAACAGGTATTTACGACAACAACAACATCATTGCTGCTGCTGCTGCTGCTGCTACAAGCACAGACGAAGCGAGAACTCTCACGAATCAAGGATAAGAAAAGAAGGAATACTGCTGTCGCCTGCACGAACTGGTCATAGCTAGCGAGCCAGCCAGATAAAGTATTTATCATTGTAGCTTCTCGCAATAGCGACGCGCTTGGTGGCGCTAACATCGTCATCGCTGAGTATCCTCCTCCAGTGAAAATACGGCAAACGGGATAGCTACTGGATACATACGTATACGCCCAACTCTGCTACGAGTGCTAGCGATGGCGTACCCTCAGCGTCGAGATCACGCTCAAAGTTTCCCGAACCTGCAATTATTGATGGTTATCACGCCACATCGAGCAAAGGGGACAAGAGAGGAACGTGCTGTGGCCTGACAAGCTCCTCGCATGCCCGGGCTAGATGTTATCTCTTAGCAATGAGAATCGTCCCGTGGCACTGTCCCTTTAAAATATTGCCCAATGTTCTACGGCTAGCGACGAGGTCTGCTTCAATACATTCCCCTGGCCTCCTCATCGATGTCGTTCTTCATGCGAAACGGAATGCAAGTTACTGAGGCTATGAGGCTTACAGACAAGGTACAGTGCTGCTGTGCCTTATCGCGCACGTCAGCGAGCTGCGAACGTTAAGCTGGGCATCGCTTCTAAATAATCGTTCGGAGTTATCCGCGAAACGGACCTAATCATGATCCTGTAATTCAGACGCGTGGCAGAACGTAGTCTTCCCGAACAGATACAATTAAGGTTCATCGTGGAACAGACGCACACACATGGAGTTAGAATTCACCTATGATAGCGTGCTGCTGCATCAAGAGGGCGAATTGATTCCATTGCAGCCGTCAGGAGAACGCCTCGGACTCTGTTAGCAACATTTCGATGAAGATACATCCTCGGATCAAGCACATTCAGTCAACAACGATATGTCGTGGGAATAGGTTTTTACGGAGAGACGACATGGTCTCAATAGGTTGCTCGCTTCGTTCTGTGTATCTTTCCGGCGTTGGTTGATATACGCAACACTATACCGTACACAACAGGCGTTTACGATGGGCAAGTGTACGTGTACACTATGGACAGTCCGACAAAAATAATCCAATAGGAGTAATGGCAGTCGCTCGGTAGCGGTTGAATGCGGAGCGCTCCTATGAATACTGCCTATAGGGGTGCAGCTGGGACGAGCTGCGTCGAGATGGAGGAGACAACGCGTCTGTGCCTGCTACTACTGTTGCCGCTGCTGTCGTTCTTGGTGTTGGTGTTTTTGGTGGTAATGCATTTGGTGCAGGCGTCGTGGCAGTAGCAAATTCGCGCGAGCTGAGTTGGACCGAGATGCGCAGCTTCAGGCAGTCTGTGCGCCTCCGCAGTCTGCGGTGAGAGATACATTGTACACAACACACGGAGCGGAGCGCAATGTTGCTACCGCTGCGTTATGGACAAATGCTAAGGATAAGATGAGAGAAGATGCAGCAGCAGCAGCAGCAAGAGCGGCGGCAACAACGATAATGATGTTGTCGCTCGTAGCGACGCTCTCTGCTGCGGCTGCTGCCGTCAGCGCGGAATGGCGAGACAACAAGAAAAGCTATCACCCTCTCTCCGGTGCCGCTGCCGACGACACTCAGCGTTCGTTGGCCCGCTCGCTCACGCCGGCGCAATCGCCATTGACTTGGTGTATCGCGGCCGCTCTGTGCTCCCTCGAAACGTTGCAGCAGCGTCGGCCGCGATGACGGCGGCGGTAGCCTCACATACGTCGTACACCAACTGCCATTACTCAACGCCGGACCGAGCAGTGAGCCGCTTTGCCCGCCCCGCACCTTAGTGGACGGTAACATCAGCTTCTGCAGCTGGATGACGCGTAGCAGCGTATCTTGAGTGATGTCCTGAATACGATCTCGAGTCAGCGTCAGCTATTCCGCACGTACCATAGAGAATAATGCAAAATTATTCGTTCAATGGAGGAGCAGCGGGGGAAACTGTTCAAACTTCGTCGTATTTCTTTCTGGTCAACGTCGACATGGCGTTAAGGGAGCAAATAAGTATTTACTATATAGTGCACCGGGCGCATCAAGTGCTGGGGCAGTTCAGCGTGTAGCAGCATTTCACTGCCTGCGCGTATGAACTACCATCGGTTTTCCTAACTCGGTTCATATTATTCTATTATTATTGATAAACATGATCTGTTGTGTTGATTCCGAGTGATAAGCCAGATTAAATTAGGTTCGTATCGATAAATCGATGTCCGATCGGTCGCTGGTAGCTTCGACAAATCCGAGATCTGTATTACTGTGTGATTCCCTAAACTGTCGACGATCGCACGAACAGCTCCGAAGTGATGGCCCATAGAAACGCGCTACCTGGCGCTATCTGGTGCGCGGTAGAGATACCACCACTGAAACTGCCGCATCCACCGATATCGTTCATACTGCGTATACGTTGGTATCCATCGCCTTACGTTTCGCGCGCGCGTTAAGCTTCGCGCACACTAACTGCGATAGTAGTCATTTACAATAGTATTAGCATAGCGTGTCTCTGTCCGTCCAGCCGTAATAGGACAGCAGCAGCGCCAGCTACAGCAACCGGTGGAGGGGAGAGTAAAGAAGCCTGAGAAGGGTACCGACGGCGTAGAACGGCATCTGAACGAATATCGACGCGAAGGGACGCTAATATATGTGCACATAGAGGGAGACTTCGCAGCTAGCGTTGCCGGAATGAGCGTGACAGCTCCAGCAGCAGCGATAAATGGAAGGAAGCCAGAAGTTGTCCGTAAGGAAAAACATGGACAAGAATGCTTTTTTTAAGCTCTGACTGCCGTCGATGGGGCTGCCGACGGCTTTTTCTGGATGACCGTGAGCCGCTAGGCGCGAGGGTCGACGAGCAACGTGCGGCGGCGACAACAGAAGGAACAAGGGCGGCAGCTGCCGCTGTTGGGGCTAATTCTTTCTTTTGGAACTTCTGGCGACGAACGCGCAAACGTTGCCTCGTCGTGAGCCAGCTTACTTGGGCAACGGCAACCGCAGCAGCGACGGCAAACAGCTCGTTGCTTTCGACGCCGCTGGAAAGATATGGCTGGATATATATGTTCATGTGTGAGTTTGTGTATTCCTCCGTACGCCGTGCATATCTCCGCGAGCGGCTCTATCTGCCACAAAGCGCATTTCACAGATGCCATCGATGCCGAATGGCGAGCGGCGGTGGCGCACTCGAAAAATGCTTTTGCTTTGGCACACTGTAGCGGTGACGCGGAGGATGACGCTCGTGGAATAACAAGTCCAGTATACGGAACAGCTACTTATTCAGACGATGGTGAAATAGCAGACGGACTGCTACTGTGTTGCGTGGACAACATTAACCAGACGCCACCTTGTCTGCTGTGCTGGTGCTGCCGCGGTCTGTTTGCTGCATGAGTGTACACGTACGAACGTTTGCGTATCTCTCCTCTATCATCGCTATTTTGTCCTTCGTCATTTTCGCCGTTCGTAAGCGCTTCGCAGTCTATCTTAGGGCGAGTGAGTGCGTGATAACGCTGTTCGTTCTTTGGCTACGCTTACGCCAACACTCAGCTCCCTTCTGTGCGGATGAAGCCACTGGATGATTATTGGAACAATTGCCATCGTAGAGTCGAACGAATAGGCTTCATCGGATCGGGTTGAGCAATGCTACTGGCTCGCATGCCCCTTAGAGCTAACAGGTAACGACACTTTATCATTAATCTCCAGCGCCGAGTAGCTGGCCTGTTTCTCCGACGCCATTGAAGCCGCTGCCTTGGCTCACTTCGAATAACACGACGCGATACGCGCACGAAGCTTGCTTCAGCATCAGCTCCGCTGGTACGAACGGCACGTGCTGAATGAGTTCAAGTCGTTTTTGACAATCGAACTTCTTTTAAGACGGACACAAATGAACGAAGAAAAAGGGCACATGACGCATAGAGTTGATTCTACCACTGCTGATATCGTATCTTGGCTAAGGCCACCGGCTTTAAGACCCAATCGCTCGCCGAAGAAAACGTTCGCCAACGTTTAGAATCGGATAAAGCAACAGTCCAAAATGTAAAGATTACTCTATTTAACATCCAGAAAATGAACAAAGCTAATAGGAGAAAACGTGTTACAACACGCAGCGAGAGTTGGCAGAATAAAATTATACGCTATCATTTGCAGAGAAACAACCGCGGAAATCTCTTATTTTTCTAAGAACGACACATTCAGAAATCGAAGAATTCTTTTTAGTTATATATATATATATATATATATATATATATATATATATATATATATATAGTAATAAGAAAATCATTAATACCTTTTAAAGTCCTAATCAGCTATGTAACAGTGCCCTGTGTCTTTGAAGTACAATAGAATTAAGTGGCTAAAATTATATAGTAGGTAGCCAAAAGCGTATTCAGCTTCGAACTTCCCAGTCGGTAACAGAACGCGGTAAACGGGTCATAATCTACCGAGCAAACCATTTCGAGGGCTGTTGATCCTCCCGTAATATAGATCTTTTTGAGTATAACGTGAAAAGTGGCCCTCACCAATCTAAGGCCCCGTATCACCGAGGCGAATGCCTAGAGGTGAGGTTTGATATCCATTAACGGATATAACGCCTGAACCTTTTATGATAATGTTCAATATAGTGCCCATTGAAGTAAATGAACGTCGATGCTCTATCGGTCTTGAAAATGCCTTTTTGATAGGTCCTGTTTGAGAAAAGGGCCTAAAAACGCAACTTCCCGTATTCTTCTGAGATCGATTTTTTCGAGAAAAAAATTTACGTCTCTTCGCGTGTCTGGCCATCGTTTTACCGTCATTTTTATCATGATATTACGGAGTTTTTGAAAGTATCGACTATTTTTGAAAATATGTCGAGACGATTGTGTTCAAACAATAGCCACAAATATAAACGATTCTTAAATGGATCGAAAACTCTCAGCTCCTAAGCAAAGGACCGAGGAACATTGTTTACTTGAAATTAATGTATATAAAAAAATTGACGTTAAACTTTTACAAAAGAAAAACCTCGAAAGGTGGCGCTTATTGCACGTTCTCTTTAAGTGTGCGCCAGAGGCATCGTTCCAGGTATGTATCATTGCACATTACGTGTGCATATTTGTCTTAAAGAGAAAACCCATTCATAAGGAGTAGGCTGTTTGATTGAAGTTAACTTCGGCATTACTGAGTGTAAGCGGCCAACTTACCTAAAAGCTTCCTGAAACGTCTACCCGGAAGTATCTTTTGAGTGTACTTAGGTAGCTCAATTTTATGTCATCTAGTCCGAGTATCATGCATACTGAGGGTAAGGCGATGCTGACTTCTTAACGGTCTGAACTGCACGACAGGTTACGGTACGGTCGAGCCTAGCGTTTCCTAGACGCCGGCAACGTTAAACGTCATTTGATAGACTCGATTTTTGATTCTGGGAGTCTAATTCTCCCTTTCTCGCTAACTGTAGATTATTTTATTGTCCGATAAAGTGTTCCGCTCTCTGGGTGCTTCGAGGGAACACGCAAGATGTGTTCATTGACGGTATAACTACGAATGCCATCATGCTTCAAATCCACAATCGATGCCCAAATTTGATGCGTATGATAAACACTGCCACAGTTATGATGCTCAGGCTTTGTTTCAATAAACTGCAAACTAACAAGTAACTGCAGTGCAGGGTTTATCGAGATGTAATTGACAGTGTTCTATTTTTGCAACTTACGTGGGTCCTAATTCGTGATTTACGATACCTTCATCTGTACGGGCTATTCCAGTGTAAACGTGAACAGCTTAACAGGGTGGAAAACAACTGATCAGCTAATATTTCCCCGACTCTTTAGTGCACCAAAGATGTCAAGAGTTTTCTATATGTATATGTAACACGTTCTGGAATAAAGTACGCTTTTCGCGTTTTTCTTGTGTCTTCCACAAGTTACAGCGAATCGAGTTGAAGTCGACTGTGGACCAGTTACTTCGATAAAAAACGTGTTACAGATAGAGTCAAAACATAAATTCGACGGTATACTGACACTGCAATCAGTGACTGATCGGCTGAATAGATTAAAAAATGTAACTTAAAAAATTACTAGGGCTAGAGTCGCCTGATTGCATAAGTTAAGCAGTGTGCGTTTAGCGACCAAAACCTTGTGAGGGACTTTGTAGGATCAAATCAATGCATTGTATAGTATTCGGTCACTTGTCACGCCTTTGTTTCTAATAACTGCCTTCGTTATAGTTAAAATTAGCTTGTGTCCGTAATAGAGAATCTTAAATAGTAAAGCAATGCAAAATAGTCATAATCTTTGCGTACATCTCGATCGACGTACTCAATCAGGTTGTTATCACGAGGTTTAAATATCTAGTGGCTGTTTTTGTTGGCCAAACACCTTGAGGGCAAGCAAATACTTGAGATCAAAGAGACCAGGTATTCAGATTGGTCGCGCTGCTCCTACCCAATCCATACGTATAGCAATTCGATTGCGGATACTGGCGCCCCCTTCACGTACCGATGATATTAAGGTATGCGTTTCTTGAATCATAGGGGCTGCGGGAGGGCCTCGATGACGCAGGATTCTAAATGGAGAAAGAAAGACACTGCGAAAGATTTAATTGCTTTAATAACTACTTAAACAGGGTCAATGGGTTTGTTTATCAGCTTTGTTGTGGTAGGTATACGCAGTTTCAATATGGCCTGTGCGGATACGTTTCGTCCTTAGAGCCGGGCTGATAAGGCGCCGATTCTAATAGAAAATGTCATAAATTTGTAACGCGGTATTGTGTTCGATTTACTTTTCTACCGACGGGCCTTCTCTCTCTTTTGTTTCTGGGAAGCTTGGATTCAAGTTGGACTAAGGAATCAGATCACGCTTAAACTATCTTTAGCATTTAGTTTTATCTGATATCACAGCGGAGGTTGCTGTAGTGAAGCCCTATGAATCAGAAAAAATAGTAATTTGCATGTAAATTTAGCATGCTTTATAAAGTCTACATTAAAGCCACGATGACATTTGTGAATTAAATGAACTTCTTAAAAACAAAACGTCGAAAAATGCCTATAAGTCTGTCGATTCAAACAGATGTAGGGGGACGCATGTCAGCGCCACTTTTCTTTTCATCATATATATGCGTTTACCCATCTACGTGTTGAAATTTTGAGTTTTTTGCTTCTTCGATCACAGTCGCGTGGATTTCGGTTGTAGAAGGGAAAAGGCTCCCGTATAATTCGAACTAGGAGTCTAAATGACTTCTTAGACATCACCTGACAACAATCGCTTGATGCGCGCTCAGGCCTTAAAATGAATGCTGCTAAGAAAACACAATCGGAGAGTCCTCCAGGCTACCTCGCTTTCAGTAGTCGTCGATTATGCCCCATCGGACATCTGTCATTATTTGTAAATGAAATAATAGTTTCTAAGTATTTTAGACATTTCACATAATAATTTCACACACGTGGGGATGAGTAGAAAAAAATGCAAAAACGAGCGACATTGTCCCAGAGGCATATACATAGTAGAGATTCACACATGGGAGAAAAATGAAAAGAGGACGTAAAAATTACGTGGAGCTTTATTAAATATCGGATGTAAGAAGTTTTTACTTTGTCCCCTATGGAAAGCTATATTATGTCATAAAGCGAATGGGACGCAACCATAATATAGCGTCGGTGTTGAAACAAACATGAGAGAACGTATTGAACTGTTCTTGCTATCGTTCAGCTTGCGATGCTCACCCCTGTAACCTTTTAATCTATGGATAATTAATCCCTCTGATTAGTATGTTGCGTATCTTAACAAGAACAGATTCCTATTTAAAGCTATTATCACATAATGTAGAAACAAACAAACTGCGATTAGACTGGCCGCACGGATTATTTTTTCTTTTTATTTTAATCATGAATTAGGTATAAATTTCAAATCAAGAAGAGCCTGTGTTCTATTTATATGATGCACGCATATTCCTATAATAATCACTGTTAAAAAAAAAACACATAAAAATTATACAGACACAGTAAGGAAAGCGCGCGATTTAAGAAAATTCAGCTCGAGATGCTCCTGTGTAAAAAGTGTCACGTCACCTTTTAGTTCTATAATTTATGACGCTTTGATGCAGAAGACAGATTGTCGTACTAGTTTTCGTACGCTTCATTTCTGATGACCTCTCACGCTATTTTTTAATTCAACCTGATAAGAGTACTCGTAAATATTTATTCAGACCAAAAAGTACTGTCTTATGCTATTCTATGTGACAGATAGCTGATTTTACTCTGATTTATCGATTGCGCTTCCTAATACATAGGATTTATCGTAGCACGTTCTAACTTTGTGTACTTCTAGAGGTGCACACGGTCGTACGCTCAGAATCGTTTTTTCTTTAATTTGTTCGCTCGATAAATATGTAAGCCTATCGCGTTCGATTCCCTTTGGTGTCACGGTATAGATTCATCGGTTTGTTTTTTCTATAGCAACAAACAGTCAAGGACTGCTTTTATTTGAATTGGGCAATTCAATTTATGACATCCTCATTACAGTCCACTGGTATACGTGTATAGCCCAAGTCAACTACAGTTTGGCTGCGTAGTAGACTATAGTCCATCGTGTAAGAATAATCCACGTATGTAGCAATACCATCCATGTTACAATACAAAGCATATTTAGAACTGGCAAAACATTTCGTTCTACTAGGAAAAGTCTCAGTGCAGAGCTTC